CCGGAGGAATTTGAAAACGGAGATTTCACTCTGAAAACGCATCAAATGTTTTCCGTCCACACTACGCCGGAGAAATTTGAAAACGGAGATTTCACTCTGAAAACTCATCAAGTGTTTTCCGTCAACGCTACGCCCGAGGAATTTGAAAACGGAGATTTCACTCTGAAAACGCATCAAGTGTTTTCCGTCCACACTACGCCGTGGAATATGAAAACGCAACGATGACCGGTCATTTCGGGTTTGCTCATGTTTCAGGAGAACTCTGTCAGGGAAATCACGTGATTATCGTGACGTCATCGTTTTCGAAAAGCTCCGTTTTCAAAATGTTTTCCGTCCACACGAAGACGAAAAGCCGGCGTTTTCAAATTCCTCCAGTTTGAAGAGNTGTTTTCCGTACACACTACGCCGGAGGAATTTGAAAACGGAGATTTCACTCTGAAAACGCATCAAATGTTATCCGTACACACTACGCCGGAGGAATTTGAAAACGGAGATTTCACTCTGAAAACGCATCAAGTTTTTCCGTCAACACTACGCCCGTGGAATATGAAAACGGAGATTTCACTCTGAAAACGCATCAAGTGTTTTCCGTCCACACTACGCCGAGGAATATGAAAACGCAACGATGACCGGTCATTTCGGGTTTGCTCGTGTTTCAGGAGAACTCTGTCAGGGAAATCACATGATTATCGTGACGTCATCGTTTTCGAAAATCTCTCTTTTTAAAATGTTTTCCGTCCACACGAAGACGAAAAGCCGGCGTTTTCAAATTCCTCCAGTTTGAAGAGCGTTTTCTAAAAGCTCCGTTTTCGTGACGGATTAGTGTGGACGGTAGACCTAACCGTAGAAATAAGGCTTCGTTTTCAAATTCCTCTGGCGTATTGTGGACAGGCCTAAATCCTGAAAAATATTATTGTCCGTTTGTACTGCCTTCTTTTGTGAGATTCAACCGAAAACGTTTTCCCTGAATGATGACACGTCTCCACAGAGATCGTTTTATTACGACTACAGGAATCTTCCAAAACCATGTTACACAACAATGATCGCCTTAGAAATCTATTTATCACGTTGAATCTCAGATGCTTCTTAAGTCAAGGGGAGGAATGGTTAAGGATGTAACTAGAGGCGTCTGTTTTCGCAGAGTAAGATATAGCGGGTGTAAATCGAGCGTCGCACAACTTGCGTAATCGCTCTGGCCAATTGCAAAGGACGCAGACAATCAACCAATCAAAACTGAAAGTGAATACAGGTAGCTGACGCGATGCGCGGGAAAACGATTGGGAGCGAGTCACGATTGGTTTTGTTTTCACTTCTGATTGGATTAAGAAGTGGTGCGAGATTTTAAGCCAATCACAAACTGAAACCTTCCCTACCTGTAGTAATGTCTCGAAACATCAATCATATCATTAGCCGTGTTATGACAGCACGTTTTGAGTTCAGCACAAACAAATTACATTTTTTCATTTATTCACTTTTTAGTTGTTACAGAATTGTTAGACTTAAAATCAAACACTCCAAAACACCTGTAGCTCATAAAATGTTTTCTCTCTTTACAGCCCCGTGTGCACAAATTCTCGGTGAGAACTTTCACCACACCTACGAAGTGTAACCAGTGCACATCGCTTATGATTGGCTTGCTGAGGCAAGGCTCGATATGCGATGGTAAGGACTATGTTCTCTGTTATGTTTGCCTACCCGGGTAAAGGGAACAAGACACCAACTCAAGTCACCGTCAGGTGACATAACTTCTTGCTCATGATATTATCATACTAACCTATTGTTGTTTCTTTGTTATTTCAGTGTGTCAGTACGCATGTCACGTGTCCTGTACTGATCAAGCTCCGCCTGTGTNTTGGTACACGTCACACGAATGTTTTAAACATAGGGTCCAACAAATAGAAAATCGAGACACTTCAGTATATACGTACAAACTATATTTTTGCACAGACGAAAGTATCAGAAGAACATCGTTATCTCGAACACTCTTGTGAGTTAAACATAAGCTGTTTCAGAATAAGTGAGTAAGTGATTATCTTTCAACAGAATCCAAAGGTATAAGTGTTTTGTAGATGGTCGTGACTGTAGTAACGGATTCTGATTGTAATTGTATGCAATAAAGAAGGTTAATTTGTGTTTTCGTTGATAACAGGTTACAGCATCTCAGATGAATCCCCCCGGGGAGTCGTTAACGCAGTTGATATTAACTGAAACTGAAAATGAGAGAGTCAAATGGGTGACTGCCTTACAGCAGTTACACAAAGTTCTCAAGGACAGTAAGGAAATATCCAAGACGGTAAGTTCTTTGAACAAAGAGGTTATCCTTTCGACGCAAGACTAGTCCAAAGTTATTTTGAGCTTTTGCGTTAAATTTTAGGTTCCTATTTTATTCATTCCATCGTATTTCCTGTAGGTTTAAGTCTTTCTTTTGTCTTCTCTCTGTCGATTTGAGCAAACGAATTTGTTGATGTTCTCATATTTGATTATTACTTCATGTTTTATGTACAGCAAGTGTACCAGGCTAAGGAGGTCATTGAGTCCAATGTACAGATCAAACAAGCGCTTTGTGCGACGATAATAGACACCGACCGAGTGTGCCTGGGTACAGAGGATGGATTGTTCTGTATCGAGCTCATGAAAGAAAGTAAGTTTAAATCAAGAATATGGAGCCAAATGAGAATGTGTTGACGAGAGTCGACACAAATTGACGAGAAGTCAACGAGAGCTAACGAGATGTCAGCGAGAGTTGGCAAGAAGTCGCCGAAAGATGGCGAGAAGTTGCCGAGAGTTGACGAGAAGTCAACGAGATTTGACGAGGAGTCAGTGAGAGTTGACGAGATGTAGACCAGAGTCGAAAATAAGCAAACTAAGGAAAAGCACTTTTGTCCTCGAACGCTTTTTGTGAAAGTCTTTGAGAGTTTTGCTCGTCGAAGCTACCTTCTAAAATTGATGATGTTTTCACGGATAGTTGACCAGGGTTGCCACGGTCAGGAAAAAGTCAGAGAAAATTAGATTTTATTCAAGGTCAGGGAAAAGTCAGGGAGTTTTGTATCAGGTCAGGGAGTTTCTAAATCCCTGTTCAAAGTCAGTGAAAAGTCACAAATTATTTTATTAGATGTTTTTGTATAGACGAAGCAATTTTGTTGTAAAAATTATCTGAGCCATTGTTATTTTTGTTGATTCATGGCCAGAATAGTCATCCTGCAGGGTCAGTGAAAATTGATTTACAGTCGGTGAAAAGTCAGGGACTTTTCTTTTTGTTCCGGTGGGTGGCAACCCTGTTGACCATCAGACTACAAACGCAACTTTCTCAGCGCTTACATCTAATTATTACTTTGTTATGTTTTCTCTGTTAGGTCTATCTCGTATTGGCGACAATAAAAAGGTTTCACAGATAGAGATGTTGCCTGATGAACAGCTTCTGGTTCTAATATCAGGTAAAGTTTGATGCATCATATGTCGTGAAATGTGCCGTGAATTTTGTTGTTGTTGTTGTTGTTTTTATCATTCGCTGGAGCATTAAAAGTCGACTATGTGTACATTTAAGAGGCGGTTAAAAAAAAAACTGTTGTATTAAAAAGCGAATCAGAAGGGGTCATAAAGCCGTCACTCTTCTGCTTAAGCAGTATCAGCCAATTAGAAAGCGGAAAAAATACGTGCAATCTGTGTTAACCGCGGGAAAACGTGAAAGTCATGTGGCGGGAAAATGTGAACGGGTTCTAAAAATGGTCTACAACCGGAGAAGACAGAATTCCGATTTTGTTGGTTAGAGCATATTGCACAAGTCTTACTGGCCTGTTACCCTCNCTCTCTCTTTAGACCCAAAACTAAGTGCACTTTAACTCTTTGCAATCGTTGGAAGCCTTCTTTTGCTTAAGCAGATCGCTCTTGCTCTAAAGTTTCGCACATTAGCCTACTCTTCCAGCACCGATTCTTTTCTCACGCGAATTTTTTTGTGGATGATTTGCAGCTTTAATTTGATTTGAACTGTGAAGAATGCTGTTCCTAAATAGTTTTAAAACCTTTCTATTGCAGGAAGAAATCGTCAAGTAAAACTCTATCCACTGTCCGCCGTTGACGGCCACGACACAGAACCTATTAAAATTGCTGAAGCTAAAAACTGTCACATGTTTGCGACTGGTAGCATCCATAACAACACAGCAACTTGTCTGTGTGTGGCAGTAAAGCGCCATATATATGTCTACGAACTCAACAGAACAAAGTACAGGCATCTGAAAATCAAGGTGACTATGTTGAAAATACGTGAATGTTTGTAGAAGGCAATCCTTAAAATTGTTTATCTGATGCGTACGCAACTGAGTTAGAAGGGGACTCGAAACGTTGCCGTTAATTTTGTTATGGTCGGAAACTGTAGAATCTTCGTTTTTTCGTGTCAACCGTTGTAAACTTTCCTTGATGTTGCTATTACACAAACGTACGTGAAAATAGAGTTTCTTTACAAAGGTAACGCGTTTTGTTGTAGTGTCGAGTTTGATACAGCGTGCTGGATTTTCATGTAAAACGTGGAAAACTTGGCGGGACATACATACGTAAACTTTATTAACATGTCTTTACATCTAGCCGATGGGGAAAAAAACCCTCTACTAATTTGGGACACTTAATATAATTAATAACCTACTAACTATTTTCTAATTTACTATTAGAAAGCCTAACAATATAATTAACAATATAATATAGTTAAAAACCAACAAACTATTTTCTAATACTGACAATCAACTAATGGGATAAATTGTTAAAAAGAATTAAGAATTACAAAGGATACAGTTGGAACAATTGTCATCCTCTACCATAACACTTCGATCAGATTTACGGATACGATGTTTAAAACTAAATAGTGATGGGAGGGTTCTAATTTCGCTTGGTAGGAAATAGCGGTTTATCCCGTGATAAGCGCGCTTAATTAAGCGCGGGAAAAGGTGCAACCAGTAGCGAGTGCGGTAAACTTTTTGGAAGTCAAATGGTTTTCACTGTTACCTAATTGGCCAAATACTAGGAAAGAGTTTTTCAAAGTATCTTTTCTCATAAACCAAAGTGAGAAACATTGAGCATCGAAACCAGTTTCAAGTGTTAGTCTAGTATGGCGTGTTTGAAGGGTGGATGTTAACTAAAGAAAAATGTTTTGTGTTTGTCTTTTTTAGGAAATGCCTGTGAGCCAAAATGTCCAGTGGTTAGGCGTTTCCTTTGGAAAACTTCTGGTTGGTTACGTTTCTGGGTTTGCTATTTTCAGTATTACAGATGAAGGAAGACCTCAGAGTAAGTGTGTGACTGACCGATGAACACGTAACAAACTTCTCCTTGGAATCTTTATACATTCTCAAGCGAATTGCAGATGAAAAAAATCATCACTTCAGCAGAAAAGTTTTTTATTTTGAACTACATTTTCCGAACTCACGGAGAGAGACACTCGTGGAAAATCGAAATTTTAAACTGATTACAGAAATATGAAATCGAAATTTAGAATATATTTGTGCACAATGTCTAAAATGTCATGCTAAAATTTCAAGCCTGTTGTTTTCAAGTTTGTTGATATCGTAATGCGTTTTTCATCTTTGACTCCTTTTGTAATCTTTTCTTCCCAGTGGTTGTTTGTCATGTGTGTAGTCAAACCTTCCCTGCTTAAAGCCCCGTCCACATTGCGCCCGTGAAAATGGAAAACGCAACAATCACCAGTCATTTTGGATTTGGGTGTTAGGAAAACTCGTTGAGGGAAATCACATGATTATCGTGGCGTTATCGCTTTCTAAAAGCTCCGTTTTCAAAACGTTTTCCGTCCACACCAAAACGCAAAGCTGGTGTTTACTAATTCCTTCGGTTTGAAGAGCGTTTTCGAAAAGCTCCGTTTTCGTGACGGATTAGTGTGGACGGTAGGTCTAACCGTAGAAAAAAAGCTGCGTTTTCAGATTTCTTCGGCGAAGTGTGTACAGGGCCTTACTTTACTGGAACTAAGTGTGTTCTGAGCTCCACAAAGTGTTATAAATCAATGATAACAAACATCATTCGTTTAAATTGCTAACAGTGTTCGTCTGAGGTTTCATAGCGTTTAATGCTTTTCTTGTGCTTCCATTTAGAACTTGTGAATTCAGATGACCCTACTTTGAATTTTATCACCAACAACCCACTTGATGCTTTGCTAGCTGTGGCAATAGAGCCTAACAAAGAGTTCCTCTTGTGTTTCAATTGTAAGTGAGGCTCTGCTCAGTGGAACTGTACAACCTAATGTAGTTATAATTTGTAAATTTGTGGATGTGAATAGGCCATTTCTGGGTTACTTTGTGTCTCTGTTTCAAAACGAGTCGTGCAAAACCTTTCATAGGTGTCAAATTTGCATGGAAATGAACCTGTAGTCGTACACATTTTCCTATGAATGATTTCGCACTAAGACTCGTTTTGCCCAGAGGAAAAAGGGAACTCTGAAATGGCCTATTACGTTTATCGTCTTGCGTTAGAGCAGTTTTCAACCGAGTGTCGTAGAACCAATACCAAACCAGTTACTTACCAATTAGACTACTCAGCCAATCTTGAACCGTAGTAAAACCAAAACCAAAGTAATAGTGCCTGTTTACTTTCGACACTCCATTGAAAACCGCTCTAATCGCGTCGTAAGAGGAGTGTTGAGCCGTTGTTTTGAGTGTTGGTCTCCTTGAGGTCTGGGCTTAAGCCCCGGCCGGAATCAATAAATAAATAAATCATCCAATGATTCGTGTTGTGTGCTACAACATAGAATTAAACTATTACTTAAGCATGAAAATATNCTCTCTCTTTAGACCCAAAACTAAGTGCACTTTAACTCTTTGCAATCGTTGGAAGCCTTCTTTTGCTTAAGCAGATCGCTCTTGCTCTAAAGTTTCGCACATTAGCCTACTCTTCCAGCACCGATTCTTTTCTCACGCGAATTTTTTTGTGGATGATTTGCAGCTTTAATTTGATTTGAACTGTGAAGAATGCTGTTCCTAAATAGTTTTAAAACCTTTCTATTGCAGGAAGAAATCGTCAAGTAAAACTCTATCCACTGTCCGCCGTTGACGGCCACGACACAGAACCTATTAAAATTGCTGAAGCTAAAAACTGTCACATGTTTGCGACTGGTAGCATCCATAACAACACAGCAACTTGTCTGTGTGTGGCAGTAAAGCGCCATATATATGTCTACGAACTCAACAGAACAAAGTACAGGCATCTGAAAATCAAGGTGACTATGTTGAAAATACGTGAATGTTTGTAGAAGGCAATCCTTAAAATTGTTTATCTGATGCGTACGCAACTGAGTTAGAAGGGGACTCGAAACGTTGCCGTTAATTTTGTTATGGTCGGAAACTGTAGAATCTTCGTTTTTTCGTGTCAACCGTTGTAAACTTTCCTTGATGTTGCTATTACACAAACGTACGTGAAAATAGAGTTTCTTTACAAAGGTAACGCGTTTTGTTGTAGTGTCGAGTTTGATACAGCGTGCTGGATTTTCATGTAAAACGTGGAAAACTTGGCGGGACATACATACGTAAACTTTATTAACATGTCTTTACATCTAGCCGATGGGGAAAAAAACCCTCTACTAATTTGGGACACTTAATATAATTAATAACCTACTAACTATTTTCTAATTTACTATTAGAAAGCCTAACAATATAATTAACAATATAATATAGTTAAAAACCAACAAACTATTTTCTAATACTGACAATCAACTAATGGGATAAATTGTTAAAAAGAATTAAGAATTACAAAGGATACAGTTGGAACAATTGTCATCCTCTACCATAACACTTCGATCAGATTTACGGATACGATGTTTAAAACTAAATAGTGATGGGAGGGTTCTAATTTCGCTTGGTAGGAAATAGCGGTTTATCCCGTGATAAGCGCGCTTAATTAAGCGCGGGAAAAGGTGCAACCAGTAGCGAGTGCGGTAAACTTTTTGGAAGTCAAATGGTTTTCACTGTTACCTAATTGGCCAAATACTAGGAAAGAGTTTTTCAAAGTATCTTTTCTCATAAACCAAAGTGAGAAACATTGAGCATCGAAACCAGTTTCAAGTGTTAGTCTAGTATGGCGTGTTTGAAGGGTGGATGTTAACTAAAGAAAAATGTTTTGTGTTTGTCTTTTTTAGGAAATGCCTGTGAGCCAAAATGTCCAGTGGTTAGGCGTTTCCTTTGGAAAACTTCTGGTTGGTTACGTTTCTGGGTTTACTATTTTCAGTATTACAGATGAAGGAAAACCTCAGAGTAAGTGTGTGACTGACCGATGAACACGTGACAAACTTCTCCTTAGAATCTTTATACATTCTCAAGCGAATTGCAGATGAAAAAAAATCATCACTTCAGCAGAAGAGTTTTTTATTTTGAACTACATTTTCCGAACTCACGGAAAGAGACACTCGTGGAAAATTGAAATTTTAAACTGATTACAGAAATATGAAATCGAAATTTAGAATATATTTGTGCACAATGTCTAAAATGTCATGCTAAAATTTCAAGCCTGTTGTTTTCAAGTTTGTTGATATCGTAATGCGTTTTTCATCTTTGACTCCTTTTGTAATCTTTTCTTCCCAGTGGTTGTATGTCATGTGTGTAGTCAAACCTTCCCTGCTTAAAGCCCCGTCCACATTGCGGCTGGTGAAAATTGAAAACTGAACGCAACAGTCATCGGTCATTTTGGATTTGTGTTTTAGGAAAACTCGTTCAGGGAAATCACATGATTATCGTGGCGTTATCGTTTTCTAAAAGCTCCGTTTTCAAAATGTTTTCCGTCCACACTAAAACGCAAAGCTGGTGTTTACTAATTCCTCCGGTTTGAAGAGCGTTTTCGAAAAGCTCCGTTTTCGTGACGGATTAGCGTGGACGGTAGGTCTAACCGTAGGAAAAAAAGCTGCGTTTTCAGATTTCTTCGGCGAAGTGTGTACAGGCCCTTACTTTACTGGAACTAAGTGTGTTCTGAGCTCCACAAAGTGTTATAAATCAATGATAACAAACTTCATTCCTTTAAATTGCTAACAATGTTCGCCTGAGGTTTCATAGAGTTTAATGCTTTTCTTGTGCTTCCATTTAGAACTTGTGAATTCAGATGACCCTACTCTGAATTTTATCACCAACAACCCGCTTGATGCTTTGCTAGCTGTGGCAATAGAGCCTAACAAAGAGTTCCTCTTGTGTTTCAATTGTAAGTGAGGCTCTGCTCAGTGGAACTGTACAACCTAATGTAGTTATAATTTGTAAATTTGTGGATGTGAATAGGCCATTTCTGGGTTACTTTGTGTCTCTGTTTCAAAACGAGTCGTGCAAAACCTTTCATAGGTGTCAAATTTGCATGGAAATGAACCTGTAGTCGTACACATTTTCCTATGAATGATTTCGCACTAAGACTCGTTTTGCCCAGAGGAAAAAGGGAACTCTGAAATGGCCTATTACGTTTATCGTCTTGCGTTAGAGCAGTTTTCAACCGAGTGTCGTAGAACCAATACCAAACCAGTTACTTACCAATTAGACTACTCAGCCAATCTTGAACCGTAGTAAAACCAAAACCAAAGTAATAGTGCCTGTTTACTTTCGACACTCCATTGAAAACCGCTCTAATCGCGTCGTAAGAGGAGTGTTGAGCCGTTGTTTTGAGTGTTGGTCTCCTTGAGGTCTGGGCTTAAGCCCCGGCCGGAATCAATAAATAAATAAATCATCCAATGATTCGTGTTGTGTGCTACAACATAGAATTAAACTATTACTTAAGCATGAAAATATTCAAATCTAATTTTTCCGACTTGTTTTTCAGTACTGGGCATCTTTGTCGAATCCAGTGGATATCGATCGAGACGCTACGAACTCATGTGGCCGTCACCCCCCACAAATGTTGGTGAGTTGATAAAAAAAAAAAACATACACTAATTCAAGGCTTCTTTGACTTTCAGAGAAAAAAAACTTTGCTCTCCCAACAGGGCACTAGATTTGTTGCGACCAATGAGCGTGCAACACTTCTCTGGCTAGCTAGCCTGCAGTGCAGGCGTCTTATTGGGGCGAGTTAGCGTTACAACCTTGCGACCGCCTTTTTAGACCGCCATGTTAGAC